TCTCTTGTGATAAAAGAGCTCTTTCCCAGTATTATTTTGAGTGTCCTCCAGCCTGAGGGGCTACTCTTCTACAACTTTATCAGAGTATGCTCTACTGCTCATGAGGTATTGACAGATCAGTTTTTCCAGTAGACTGCCACATTCTTCTCTCTAGTCTGTCTTGCTCTGGAAACTCTGCTGAAACCTGTTCAGCATGAACGACCCTGCTGGCTATTTGTTTTTTATTACTGAGTGAAAGTTTACAAATCACATTGCATTTTCATTTAATTATTCATAGACACTTTATAACATTAATTAAAATTAATTTCTATAATTAATCACAAGGCCTAATCAAATCTTGGGGAACTCTGGTAGCCTACTATAAGGACTTGTGCTGCTGACTCTCCAGCACAAAACCCCCAACAAACCCTTACTGTACACTGCCTTACCTTGCTGGTTCTTCCCAGTGACATATTTTCTGGCATCACTGTAATATCTAAGACATCAGAGTATGACAAACTGATGGACAAGTGATAATGCAGATAAAAAGTGATAAAGTAGATAATCTCTAACTTCAAGTATGATTTAAGACAACTTAGATGGTCCCATAATATGTTATGCCTGAGAAAAAGAAAAAAATCTATCTGGAGGGAGCTCTGATGGCCTAAAGGCAAGAAGCTGCACTGCAATCCCAGAGGTATGTGGTTCAAATCCACCAGATGCTCTGCTGGAGAAGGAGGGACAATCTCCTCCTGTACCAGTCAGATCTGATTTGACAGTAGTGCACATAAAATATAATAAATAAAAATAATTTTAAAAAAATCTATCAGGATATAAGATTCTGAAACCTAAGTTTTACACTACAGAAAATCTTGCAGCACTGTTTTCAGAAACCTCTGAAATCCATTACATGGCAAAGACCACTTACACAAGCCTTTTCTGAACATTCCATTTGTCTCTGGACCAGCAGAACATACTACAGATTTCATCATACAGAAAGCCAGATCTTAACAGTTCTAAGATCAACATGGCTCCCAGGCTACAAAGAAAACTGTCAGGACCTCAGCTAGATCCTTCATAATGAGCACCAAAGTCCATATCAAAGGTGAACTATTAATTAAAAGATAACTTGGTAGCTACTAATATTCATGTAACCATATGAGATTGTTCAAGCTAACGCTTTCTCCAAAAGGCCCAATGAAAACAGCTGACCTTTGAAAAGACCTCAAGTTAAAGAAAAGACTAAATAATATAAAGTTAATATTATTTAATACTAAATTAAATAATATAAAAACTCAATTTTCATAAGTTGTACATTTTACCTCTTAGTTTAGTGGTGGGTGTCTAGGTACTTAAAAGCTTTTAAGAAGCGACTTAAGTATTGGTCTCTTCAAGAAGTCAAGAAGCTGAAGAGAAAGCAAAATATTATAATGAAGTGTGCAAAGATCTAGAATGAGAAAATCAAAAGGGCCAAACTTGCTCGGCATTTCTTAAGCTGAAGGAACTGAAGAACATTCAAGCCTCGAGTTGCAATACTTAAGGATGGTTTGGCAGAATTTTTAACAATCCAGGAAGCATTAAAAGAAGTTAGAAGGAGTACCAAAAGGAATTGCCTGACACAGAAGAATTTCATGAAACATGATCAACAGGCAATGGTGATGAAAGAGGAAGTTCAAACTATTTTGAGGGAACTGACAAAAAACAAGGAACCAGGAATTGATGGCATTCCAAGTGACATATTTTAACAAACATATGCTGTCCTGCACATGCTCACCAGGTTGTGCCAAGAAATCCAGGACAACTACCTAGCCAATTGACCAGAAGAGATCCATATTTATTCCTATCCCCGCCCGCCTCTACCCCCCCACCTCTGCCAAAAAAGGTGATCTGATAAGAGTGGTAATTAGTAAACGATATCACACACAAGCAAAATCCTGCTGAAGATTTTCCCGAAATGACTGGAAAAGAAATACAAGCTGAATTTAGAAGAGGCTGTGACACTAGAGATGTTATCACCAATGTCAGATGGATCTTGGCAGAAAGCCAAGAGTTCCAGAAGAATGTCTCTCTGTGCTTCATTGACTATGCAAAGGCATTTGACTGTGTAGATCACAACCAATTATGGTTAACCTTGAGAAGAATGGGAATCCAAGAACACTTGATTGTGCTCATGAAAAACCTATACTTGGACCCAGTCCAAGTCCAACCTTGGACAGTTGTCAGAACAGAGCAACACTGCATGGTTCAAAATTAGGGAGGAAATTTGTCAGGGACACATCCTTTCTCCATACCTTTTCAATCTATACACAGAACAGATCATTTGAGAGGCTGGACTTTATTAGGAAGAGAGTGGCATCAGGATTGAAGGAAGACTTGTCAACAACCTATGTAGATACAACCTTGCTTACTGAAACTGAGAAGGACCTAAAGCATTTGCTACAGAAGGACAAGAACTGTAGTCTTCAACATGGACTGAATCTAAACATCAAGAAGACAAAAATTCTCATCACTGGATCAAACGACAGCATGGAGATCAAATGGCAGATGAATGGAGAAGAGACTGAGGTTGTTAACAGTTCAGCTTGCTTGACTCCACAATCAACACTCTTAACACCAACAGTTAGGAAATCAAAAGACGAATTACATTGGGAAAGTCAGGGACCTCTCCAGAGTGCTGAGAAGCAATGTCGTCAATCTAAAGACTAAGATGCTCCTGATCTGGGCCATGGTCCCTGCAATTACATGCTATGCATCAGGGAGCTGAACAAGGGCTAAGGCTGACAGAAAAAGAATCAATGCCTTTGAGTTGTGGAATGGGAGAAGAGTATTGAATATACCATGGACTGCCAGTAGAATAAATAGGCAAGTCTTGGAGAAGGTGAAACCAAGTTTCTCCTTGGAGGCAAGGATTTTGAAGCTCTGTCTCACATACTTTGGGTACACGGCCAGGAGAGACCAGTCCATTTAGAAGGACGTCATGCTCGGAAGGGTGGAGGGCAAGCACAAGAAAGGAAGACCCTGGATGAGATGGACTGATACAGTAACTGGGGCGATGGGATTAGGTGTGTCAGAGTCAGAAAGACTGGCTCAGGATAGGGCAGGCTTCAGAGCTGTTGTGCACAGCGCTGCTATAAGTCATACATAACTTGACGGCACATAACAAAACATATTTGGAACAAAAGAGGAAACAAGGAAACCAAAGACTCAAATTAGAAAGTAGGACTAATAGCCCAAATGAACCAATGCTCAATGCATCCTGAGATGGAAAGAACTAGACGGAGCTCAGCTATCACTACCAACCATTCTAACTAGGGACACAACAGTTCAATCTAGTAAAACCCAATGTTGTACAGTCATTTCTAACTTATACAGCAATCCTCCATGGTGTTTTCAAGTCTGTACTCAGGCTGGCAAGGAATGATTAGTGGGTTCAAACAGTGGACCTTTGTTTAGTAGTTCAACACATCACATACTATGATACCAAGGTTCCTTTAGCATTTGAAAAAAAGTGTGGAACAGACCCTCAAATTCCTTCAAAAAGTATTAATAATAATAAACCCAAACCTACCAAACCCGTTACTACTGGAGCACTCTCTGAGACTACTGCCCTGAGGTACTCTGTAAACCTTTTTTAACTGAAACTAACCCTTGATGTCAGCATCTTTATTTTGTGAACTAGTAATAGATGGTCTCTAGTAACTAGTAGTAGATGGTAATAGAATACTACCCATGAGGACACTATGCTCCTTTTAAAAACCATCTACTTGAGACTGAAAGTCAACTATTGCAAACTATTGATAAAAAAAACAAACAAATCAACAAAAATGAGAATGTAAGAAGGCAGGCAATCTAGGTTAATGGAAATTGGAAAACCTAGTGGAAATGGAGCTCAGGTAGAATAGTGGATAAGGAGTTGTACCACCAACATAAAGGCACACAATTCGAATCCACCAGCTGCTTTAAGAAAGAAAGATAGACAATCCCCACCCATGCCTCTGAAAACCCACTAGAGGGTCTGTTATGAGTCAGTTTTGACTCTATAGCAGTAACAACAGCAGTGGAAATGGAACAATCACACGAGAATAATGAAAATAGTTTTGTACTGTGAAAAATGTAACCAATGTGCATGAACAGTTAGCTTGTGTAGCAATTGACTACTGAATGGGTACCTCAGGTATATACATACATACACAGACACACACCCTCACACCTGTCATGTCTAACCATTGTAAACACAATTCAGTATCATTTAAAAAATTAGTGACAAGCCCATAATTCTCCCAACAGTCCCCTAAATGTGGCTAAGGGGGCTGGGAAGCTCTGAGATCTGCCCCTCTACCATATCACAGTGGTTCCAAGTCTTACTCTTGCCTGGCCAATCTTACATCAAGACACAGTGTGAACACCTATACACTTATAAATATTCATTAGTCAAAAGATGCCAAGATAACATTCTGTCACCACACATTCTCTGAGCATGGTTTATCAGACGAAACTATGTGAACCCAAAGAAGAAACACAAAGAAATATGCAAGCAATTTAGTTTCAAATATAGGAGGAAACATGAAGACACTTATCTAAAATGTCATTTATACAGAAATGATATTAAGGCATTTAAGACAGAAAAGTTCCTTTTGGGGATTGCTAGGCTATAAAAGCCACAAGAATATGCACTCTTTTGTACAAGTTTTCTTCTCTGTCAAGTCTGAATCCTAAAGCAGCCCTCAGTGATATTCTGGAACTAGCACAAGTGCCACTCAGATCTTCATGAGATAAAACGACATCTAGGCCAGTGACCAAACGTCCTGAGGTCACTGGATTCCAAGCACAGCAGAGAAGCACCTCCAGAGGACGCTGTTCCTGGTGAATCAGTCTGGACAGCCAGGCTTCTTTGGATGTGCATGCACTTGGCACTTCTGGGTGTTCCATTGGCTTCTTGGACACATATACTTACCTAAAAGTCAAGGAAAATCCAGAGCCACACAGCAAATATAAGACGACAGAGTCCCAGCAAGTCTTACCTTATGCACACTTTTGGGGTTTTCCAACCAAGCGTAATACATTTCCTCGACATAATTTGAACTAGTCCCACTCAAGAAAGGTTCAGCAGCAATTGGTGCAGTGTAGCAGCGAATTTGTTGAAAATTCCTAGTTGCTGCTGGTCCGTTTTGTGAAACTGTCTTAACAGTCTGGAAAGCTGTCAAAGGCCTTAACTTAGCAGCACAAGTCCTTAAATGAAACATTTTTGCTTGAAGCCTCTCACGACCACCTGTACAAAAGAAAAGAGAGAGGAAAAAAAAAAGAGAATCTTAAGGATTTTAATAGATAAGGCTACAGGAGAAAACTTGCTAGACACTGGTTACTTAGGAGATCTATCTGACTTGTACATGTATCTGTACCAGTGTGCCAACTGCATCAGCGCCCAAGTTAATGTTACGAAGAAACCTAGTAGGAACCAACTCACAGCTGACCTTCCAGCAGGTCTTCCAAGGCTACAAATGGCACAGGAGCTCACCATCTTCCTCCCACAGAGCAGCTGGTGGATCTGAACCAGCAGAAAGGCACAACCCCCTATGGACTAGCCCAACAGAGCTGCCTATGTTACACACAACATAGGAAAACAGAGTGAAGGCAAACCAAAACCAAACATTTTAGTAGTTACTATGTGCTGTGCACTAGGCTAGACAAAAATGAAGATGAATAACATAACATCTGCATTTAGTAAATTAAAACATTACTTCAGGAATATTATTATACGATGATAAATGTATAAAGTTCTTTGAGCTTAAACATTTGGGAAAAATTTCTAAAAGACAAAAAATTAATTAAGGATTAATTTCAAAATGAGAAAGACATTTCAATCTACTCATACACTACTGAACACCTGTTGCTGCTGTACTCATGGTATTTTGTAAAATACAAAGAAATTAGAAAAACATTCTGGTTCCTTTCAAACCATTTTACTTCAAGCAGAGGAGGAGAATAGAATATACATAAACAATTATTACAGAGAAAGCACTGAGTGTTGAGAAAGACACAGGAAATTCCACAGACACAGTCACTCCTTCCTGGCTGGAGGGAACAAGGTAGCCAAGGAAGGCTGCAATTTGGAGCAACATCTGGGGACCAAAAGGATTTAAAGACAAAGGGGCAAGAAAGGGCAGGTATCATAAATGAATGAACCAGAGGAGGAAAGCCAGAGACAAAAGAGTGTGATGGAATGGAAGTGGAACATGACGGCGCCGGACCATGGAGAGGTCCAAATGCCACACTTAGCGGACACCTTCCTTCATCCCCCAAGGCCAACACAGAGCCGAAAGCAAGCACATAAGACAGTCGGCTTCTAGAAAAGCTAATCAGTCAATAAACATCTAAGGTAAGTAAGTACGCATGATGACACTTATATAAATCCCATAAACTCACTCTTCAGGCTAGCATTAGCCCTTCCTTCCACTCTACAGCTTTCTCTGAGTTTGCATTTCTTAAATTCCCCCAAGCTTGCCTGTTAACAGAGGAGTTGGGCTCCGAGGAAAGCCTTCGTACTTCCAAGTCCATATCCTTCCTCTACCAGTGCTGCCTCAGCAGAATGGGAGAGGAAGGCTGAAGGTAGATGCTCTCTAAAAGACGGAGGCAAGAGAGGCCTATGAGCAGAGGGCAGGCAATCTGGAAAGAGAAAGAGCAACACTTCTACCATTTACTTACACGAATGAATGCGGTGCCTGATTTTCATGCTGTTGTTGCTGGGTACTTTCAAGTCGCTTGCAAACAATTCAGCTCACTAAGGGGCTTCTTCTTTGTCCCCAACCCTCTACTTTACCAGGCATGATGTCCTTCTCCAAAACAGATGACCAAAGCATGAGTTTCACCACTCCTCCTTCTAAGAACTCTACTGTACTTCTTCCAAGTCAGATTTGCTAATTTTTCTGAAAGGCCACAGTATCCTTTAGTGGTTAAAGGCATCCGTTTTTCTTTGGTCTCGTTATTGACTGTCTAGCTTTCATATACATATGTATTGCTTTTATGTACCACTGGTGGGAGTTGACCCTCCAGCAAGTTTTCAAGGGCCGGTAAATTGAGAAGAAACTGCCCATCTCTCTCCCAAACTGGTAGATTCAAATGGTCCGCCTTTGTGTTGGCGGCACAACTCCTTACCACTAAGCTGCCAGACAACTTCGTAGAAATATGAGCAAATGAAAATGTGACTTGGGCCAGGTTTATCTGAGACTACTTTGAAGCAACATCTTTGCTTTTTTAACATTCTGCAGTCTTTCACAGCAGACCTGGCCAATGGACTGTTGCTTTATTTCCTGATTGCTGCTCTCATGGGCAATGATTATGGACCCAAATAAACTGTATCAAAATAACCATTTTCATAAAAGATGTTTATGTGCCACCACTCTACCCTGACAAATATCAAAGAGTATAAACTGTCTAGAAGGGACTCTGGCAGCCTAGTGGGGAAGGAGTTGCTCAGTCAAACCAGGGCAGGAGGCAATTAGACCCCACTGCTCCACAGAAGACGGTATCTCTCCTCCCATGTGATTTATAGCCTCTGAAAACCCACTGGAGGAGGCTCAGTGATGAGTGAGTTCCAATTAGATGGAAATGAACTGTTGTTCCTGAGACTATGTATGTGATTCCCAGGGGGTCCAGGATGTCAGGTGCAAGCACTTTTACAACTCCAGCAAACTTGTAGAAAGCTCCTCACTCGCAGATCCTAGTTGCCAAAGGGTTGGGCAGGGGCAGTATAAGAGTCAGGAACACCTTAGCTTTGGCCAGTGGGCAAAGGCCACTGAAGAGGGTAAGAGGCACTTAACAGGCATACATAGGGGAACATTCACCAAGAGAATGGTGTATATAGCAAAAGATAAGTGATTGAGGAATGTCTAACGGAAGGGTGATGACTCCACTGACATTGGTTGGCTCAACCTGAGGCACCAAGGACTTTCTCTTCCTAATGAAAGACAGGCACAGGGCCACCAACTCATATAAAGGCTTGCTGGACTGCCCCAGAACAAGAGTCACACTCCTCCAGCAAGTACATTATCTGATAATGTAGAAGGAATCCAAGCTCTGAAACACGCTAAACTGAACCCAAAATCAAGGATTCATCAGAGTATCTGCTACATCATTTCTATGTATACTTCTTGATCACATGGCTGAATAGTGGACTTTCTTCTCTGGCTTTCGTGGGGAAAGACAAAGCAGCAAATAAACCCAATAAACAAAAACTTGCTTCTTAAACATGAACAAGCAGTGGATTTTGGATCTAACTATTAAGGTACAAAAGTTTTGTTACCTGGTCTTTCTCCCCACAGTCTTGTAACTCCCACCAAAATGACTGGGTGGGATGGTGGCTTACTATTTGAAGCGGGGTTCTCTAGAGAAGTTGTTATTGTTGTTTGCCACTGAATGGGAACTGACTCTTTGCTGACCCTATAGCAAGTTTTCAGAGGCAATAAATCACTTGAGAAGAGATTGTCCATCTTTCTCCCATGGAGCAGTTGGTGGATTTGAACTACATGCCTTTGAAACTGCAGCACAGCTTCTCAGCACTAGGTCACCAGAGCACCCTCTGTTGTTGTTGTTAAGTGCCGCTGAGTCGTAGGCGACTCATAGCGACCCTATGAACAAAAGTCCTTGACCCTTGCATGGACTTTCATCCTTTATACAGGCTCATAAGGTTTCCGGAGGCAAACTATTTACAGAAGTGGATGCCACTCCTGCTTCCAAGCTTTAATCGGGGAGCTCCACCAAACACTGTCCACCATGGGTAACCATTATCGCATCTGACACCAGTGTCTCAGTGTTCCGCTTCACAGCAACCACAAGTTAACTCTGTATGGCAAGTGGACACACCAGGACTATACAACCTACAAGAATGTTTGACCGGCAAGCTCTGGTGGCCTAGTGGCAAGAAGCTGTGCTGCAATCCCAGAAGTGCATGGTTCAAATCCACCAGATGCTCTGCTGAAGGAGGAGGGACAATCTCCTACTGTACCAGTCGGATCTGATTTGACACTACACACATAAAAAATAATAAATTTTTTTTAAAAAAAGAATGTTTGACCAAAAACAATTAAGAACTGGCCTGAGGACCACGGATTAGAGTAACCCACCTTTGGCTTGGTAGCATCACTTTCAGTCCACTAGGCCAACTGGTGTCTCTCTCCGTGCTGTTAAGTGCCGTTGAGTCATAGGCGACTCTTAGTGACCCTATGAACGAAAGTCCTCGACCCTCTAGAGAAATAAAACTAGTGAAGTGGGATGAAGAAATTTCGTTCAAGGGAATGGCTTGCTCAGCTGAAAAGGATAGGAACTCCCAAGTCCATAGGGCAGGCAGTCTGCTGACTCACTCACCTGTGAGGATGACAAACCCAGGATTAGTAGGACTGGCAGTAGGCTGCTGACGAGAGGCTGTTAAATCCAGGACTGGCAGGCACAGTCAGGTAGGAGCTCTGTAGCCTCGTCCAAAGAGTTATACCACTAACCTAAAGGTTAGGAGGTCTTTCCTCCTGGACAACGTACAGCCTCAGAAGACCTGCTGAAAGCTCAGCTATGAGTCAGTTTCAGCTCCACAGCAATGAGCCAGAGTTGTTTGGGTTTGTGGGTTGGTGGTTTTTTTGGGTATTATTATTATTATTATTATTTTGTGTGTGCCGTCAAATCGGAACTGACTGGTACAGGAGGAGATTGTCCCTCCTTCTCCAGTAGAGCTTCTGGTGGATTCGAACTGCGTACTTCTGGGACTGCAGTGCAGCTTCTTGCCACTAGGCCACCAGAGCTCCCTTGGGGTTGTATTTTTTTTTTCCTTATTGTTTTTATTTTCTGACTGCGGGTGCAAAGACTGTTGATTGTGCTGGAGTTGTATTTTTCATGTCAGGTAATCTCAAGTCCAAAGAACTAGAGATCATATCAGAACCAAGATCATGGAAAGAGAACTTTGCCAGAGCATCCATATTGGGTACAGGCCACACTCCTACTCTCTTTCAAATCAATGTCTGCTCCCAACAGTTATCCATATGGAAATGGCTGCATTATATCCGATTTGATCAAGGAGATGACCTCATTAAAACGCCAAACCAGAGAACAGACACCCAGGTTGACAGAGAGCCTTAACCACCACATATATTAATAACAATTGTGTGTGTGTAATACCAATAATACAAATAATACTAACAATTTCATAAAACTGAATGGCCTTGGAAACCCTGTAGGGCAGTATGTCCTCTGGGGCTTCCAT